TTGCCATTAGATATCCTTAAATCCCTACCTCAAGTGGAAAGATAACCTCATTAGTTCTACTCAAAGCTGCTATCATTTTTTTAAATAACAGTACAGTGCAGTCTTCTGATAAGCGCCAGTTAACCTAAAATTGTTTTTAAAGGCTTTTACTGTATGCCAATGGTGACCTACTATCAAACCGAGAAGATCCTATCTTCCATCTGTACAGGAGACACAATGCAATTTCACCGCTTTGCTACAAACACTTAAGTGCTGGAGTAGGGTGTGAGGAAAGGCAATTCAAATGCTCACTTGATTTGGTGTAACAGCCTGCAGAAGGAGAAAAAGTGTTAAGCTTTTTCCCCTGAATCTGTTGACAGAAGGGTACTGCACATTCACAAAGCATCTTCCCTCTTATTCTTCTTCCTGCCCCAAAAAATACCAGGATGATTTTTTTGTCCACTTAAACTGATCTATAAAGTACATCAACAGATATTTGGCAACATAATTTCCAGTATTGCAAGGGAAGTTTAACACCATAGCTGGTGGGAATGCATTTTTTTCTCTCCCTCCACAGTTCCGTAAGGAATCTGAAATCTGGTAGTCCCAAATCCAAAATGTGATGAGACGATCAGGCAGTACTTAACATGTACAATGCTTACACTGTGGCATATTTTTGGATTAAATTATATATGGAATGACGTCATTGCTGGTATCTGAAAATGTGGTTATCTAAAAGCCACAAGGAGACATATTTCACACAGTGTCCTGAATCCATCAGATAACTCCTTCACAAACAATGCTAGCCTCAAGCTTGAATGTGGTTCAAAAGTCGAGAAAATTTAGGTCATTACTCTAGCCTTTATTCCCCCTTCAAACTGGCAACTCTAGTTGTGGCTGAAATGGCTGCACTGGTGATACAACTGTACTCATTTAGAAACCCAGTATTTGTAGAATAAGTAAAAAATTTTTAGTGAAAAATATTATGGTCCAATCAACCTTACCATTATCTCTTAAATAAAACCAGGTTTCGCACTTCTTATGTGTCATATCAATGGTAAAATGCTCTTGAAAACACTGACTGCACATCTCCAAAGCCTTAAGGATTCATGAAGTTTTTCATTCTAATAATTAAAATGCAAGTAGGAAAAAAAAAAAAGAATTAATTTATCTTTAAATCCCTTTCAACAGCACAACCATGCTACTCAGAAGCTGCAGAGAGCTAACTAAGCTCCTTAATTCCCTTCTATTTAACCCACTCCTGAAGACTGATGTTCTTATGTGAGATCAGTAGAAGATTCTGTCCTTTGCTGTACAGCATTAAATGATTCCACAAAACAGTCCAGGCTAAAATAGACATTTAACACCTGTACAACCAGGCAACATAATGAAGTTTAGGAATTTGTATACTTTTCTATAAGAGGCAAGGTACCCAACGACAGGTCATGGAGTTCACAATAAGATCTAAAGAAAAGGAAACCTAGCTGTCACCGTCGGGATAGCAAAAATCCACATACCGTAGTAGTTTATATAGCCTGTCAGTTGATTCAGCAGTGATGAATTTTTCTTTCTTTGGCTGCCTGCCACTGAACAAAAACTAATCTTGCACCTGAACGATCTAGTCATTAAACTCAAAGGAAGCCTTATCTTCTGACTTATGACATATGACAGACAGAGCTGGCAAAAATAAAGAGGGGCTGCCCTAATAGCCAAAGGCAGCAACCCTTTAGGTGCAACAGGATTTTTAACACCTAACCAACTCTACATCTTGGCACTAATAGTTGATGCATCTGCTTTGCCAGCCACGGATGTCACAATGGGGAGAATCTGACTTGCACAGTGTAACACAGAAGAGAAACTCAAGAACACACAAAATGTCCTTATTCATTCTGTTTTCTTGACAAATACAGAAATATCTGAATCAAGAGCATCTATCCTAAATGAATCCTCAGGTGCTTGTTTCCGTTGCAGGTATGCAAAATTTAGTAACTATTCACCTTATAATAATTTATCTGAAAACAGTATAATCATTTAAAACCGGTATTATTTAAAACAAAATAAAAATTAATTATATAAAACCAAAATTATTTAAAAACAAAACAAAACCAAAAGTAGAAATAATTTTAAAAAGCACAGAAAAACAACACCAAAAAAAAACAACCACACAAACCAGCCACAAATATACCAGAAAGATTATTTCACAACCACTGTTCAGCCAGCAGGTTGAAACACCGCAGCACCTCGATTTAAGCACAGTCACACAATTAAACACTGCAAAGTACCAGAACTAAAGCTGTGAAGGAAGCTTTACCATGGACATTTCTGGACTCAAACACAACATATTCAAGTGGAAAGCTCTCCAGTACAGCTGTTTGTCTATGGAAAGTTCACATCAATTAAGTCTGTTTATAGCTAGCAACATTCAAGTCCTTACGAACTTTGTATTAGTCAACTTATAATAGATTACCAAATTAAATATAGAGGGAACTGCTGGTGCAACTGTATCAGTAGAAAAATTCAATCCATTACATGCAGGCAGACTGAGACTACTTCATTCTACTGAAGTGACTCCACCTTTACAGTGATGTACAGACCACACTGCAGAAAACACTGCTGCACCGTAATTTTTTTGTTTTTCAATCAGCAGTCCAAGCACTCTGAAGGGCTTCACACAGAGTGAATGCAGCATCCACACAGGAGGCAGGCCTTAAAAAACGTTAAAGCTTGTTCAGTGGAAAGTTTCCCCATCACTGCATTTTTCAGTAACAAAGATGTTGTCAGAAATGACAATTTTTCGTGTCCCCTGATGATGCCTTGCTAGCATTTGGTTATAAGCCATAAAGCAGGAATAATTTCAGCCTGTCAGGAGTCTAGCTAATGCCCAGTTTCCCCCTAGAGAGAATTCCTGTCAAACGTAATGAGAGCTCCAAAGGCCCTCTCTACAACATAATGAGCACTTAGGCCATGCTGGTGATCAGCCAGCAAAAAGCATCAATTTGAGCCTGGCTACACCCTTGGGGATAGACGTCACCAGTTTTAATAAGAATTATGATTACTATCTGCCAAAAGCCTCCTCAGAACTTATCCTGAGCGGTGGAAATTCAGAAGAGTGTCATTGGTAGGTTTTTTGTTTCCTGTAATCTAAGACCACCTACACACTGAACAGTAACACTGTTTGGTATCCTCATTGCAGGCATCTAAATCATGTTAAAGGTGACTTTAACATGAAGGTGTTACTTTTATCAGAAATTAGAATTAGTTAATATGTAAAAGTATAGTATCTGAGACTCATATCCAGTGAAATGTATTTATGCCTACAAAAGCTCATTTGTTTCTTAACAGCATACACAGACCAAATGTGCTCTACTCCCCCCAGCTAGGATCAACATAGGAATTATGCTCTACTATAAATCTTAAAAGCTTCCAAAGTATCATTGCCTACTGGGTATGTAATTATTGTTGCCATACATACAGAACATTAAACCCTTGCAATACACAGATATTAAGGTCAAAGTGGAAACCTCAGCTCTGACACTCTTTAATCTTGTGGGCTTAATTGATTTTACCTAAAGTTAATTCCTAGTACATTTACTGAAGTCACTCATTCTCTTCAAAGATCTTCTGAAAACAACATCCGTTTTGCACCGAACGAGGCTCCTGTATAGGTATTGGCTTCATCACAGGTTACAGTGTGCCAAAAACTTTAGGAGAAGAAAAAAAAAAAAAATCCAAGAAAGAGACCTCCAAATCACAACTCTTGGAAAAAGTCACCTCACAGGAAAACTGACATTCTTCTAAAACACAAGGCACAAGAAGACTGATGCAGCTACAGTACAGAACCACGTCAAACACTGTTTCAGTTATTCTGTCTACCTACTTGGTGCATAGCTTTAAAAAAAAAAAAAACAAGGTTGTCTTAGTGTTTCTGCTTTTACCAGTATTTTGGATTCAAACCAGTGTATATCTAAAAGCCAAGAGAATACCTACCCAGCTTTGCAGACAATGTTATTATGGAATTACAATACCACATTATCAAATATAATATTTTTAGGGAAAACTAAAGAAAAAAAAAAGAAAAAAAAATCAAACAGTTCAGAGTTACAAAAGCAAAATTCAACTCTGCAATTCACTTGCTTAATGAAAGTCTTTGAATATACTGAAGATCCAAAGCCTGAACTAATCAATTTCTTCGCTGTGCCCTAGCTGGTCATCCATGCTCTTTAATTTAATGAAACAAGAGTTTTAGATGAAATAGCACATACACATCAAGAAAGAATTGTATTGTTGCACTTTGAAATGTGTCCAACTGTGCAACTTCATCTAATGATAATTTTTTTTAAGAGGCCATCGATTTCTGAAAGACTTATTGTCATCAGCATCTTGATGAAAAAGTGAATGTCAGCATATCTACAGAATACTTACACCCTGCCATTAATGCTTTATTTGGCAGACAATGACTACTCAATTGAGGGTCCTCTGGGCTGAGCAATCATTTAGCTTTTCTTCTCTTACGAGGTCCTTAGTGTCTTGTTCCAGTTCAATACTCTTTTTATTCACCATTATAGCAGCCATAAGTGTGAATTTTATGGGAACCTGCAAACTCATAGTCATAACTAGAGCTTTCGAAGTCACTAATCTTTTAATACCTTTAAATAGCAAGGATTTGAACAACTATCACTACATATGCTACACACGCATAAGACCAGTTCCATATATCAATTTCTTCATTACTAACAAAATAAAACCACATAAAGCACTGGATTATAATTCTGAAACCACAGACACGAGACCTTTCCCGTTTCTGCCAACATCTTTCAGGACCAATACCAAGAAAGCCTTGTCACTCAACCTAATCTATACCTTATCTGACAGCAGGTAGGCAAAGGTTTACTAATCACAGCTACAAATCAGTCGATCGATTCAGGCACATGATACAGCCATCCAAACATAAACAGAACGGCTACATTTAAATGCACTAGACATACTGCAGATTTTGTGGTTTAAAAAACAAAATGCCTTACCTGTTTGTGCATTTCAATGTTTAATCCATATGACATTTCATAATACTGCAAATAAAGGAGCATACATTATTTTCTTATGCTGGCTTACATTTTATTAGGAAATATTTACTGAAATAAAGAAAAAACAAATATACTTACCATCACATAGTGCCTCTGCATTTCTGTCTTTTCACTTGCCAGTTTCTCACATTCCAATTTAAGGCTACAAAATAGATCACACTTTAATGTAACTGTTATGTCATTTGTTTTGACATCTACCCACTTTATTTTTATTTTGACAGAGCAGCTAATTAAAAAACCTCATAAACTAACACACAAATAGAAAGAGAAAGACTTAATTCATATGTTAAATACAAAGGCTGAACGGGAAATTTAGAAGGTATTTCATGTGTGCTGTGTGAGACCCAAACTGTCTCCAGAACCCAAACATATCCAATCTTCATGTCTTGACAAAGAGCTGCTATGAAGTGCTACAACTTTCAGGCTTTTAACAGGATCTGAATTTCTCCAAAGAATTTCTTAGTAGTAAAATAGAGGTATTTCTTTGTATACGACATTTAGTAAAGTACTGCCAAGTAACACACCACTCACATTTACAATTACAACTTGAGTGTGTCTGTAATTCTTAACCTTAAGTACACTCTAGCTAATGTTGTCTTGCTTGAAAAACATTAACTTTCACTATCATTTACTAGTAAGTTTCTTTTCTATTTTTGTTTTCATAAACGAAAAGAAGTTGCATTTGGGACTCGTGTATCTCATCACTAACAATTCCTCCTACTTTCACTGAGGGCAAATGCCTCCACATTCCCTTTGTTCTCTGGCAATCTTTTTTTTTTTTTTTTTTTAATGACACTGGTAAGCATCCAAGGGACCAGTCAGTGGGTAAGCTATCATTTTTCACTTACAGCTTCGATACCGAATGTTTATAGTTTACACTGCATTTCTAAAGTAATAAATGGCTTTAAACAAGACAATTATTTTAGCTGAGACTAAGACTACAGGTATCACAGGTATGAAAGCAGAAGCCTAAACAAAACCAAGCCATTTCTCACTGGGAAAGCTGCAAAGCTTTTATTCCTATCCAGATTTTAGAGGTGCACGTAAGTACAAAATTAAGGAAGATTAATGCCCCTTAATGCCAATTGCCCTGGGTAGGCAAGAACCCACACCCTACATCTCTGCAGGAACGCCAGCAGCAAATCACAAACGCAACAGGAACGACTGGAGAATGACAGCACAGCAACCAGAAACACATGCCACGGCTTCGGCTGACTCAAGCCAACTTTGTGTGAGTACTCCAGTACCTGTGCGCTTTTAACAATCCCTCCTGACTCTTTAAGCACCGCATACTGGCATTTTATTAATCTTTGCATTAACACCACGCACCAAAGAGCACACGCGAGAATTAGCCTCCTTAAAGCTCTGTGCCACCGAATCAGCACAGGTCTTCTCTGAATACACTTTAAAAAAAAAAAAAAAAATCCTCCACATAATATTTTGTTTTCGGGTTTGGTTTTGTTTTGTTTTGTTTTGCTTTCTTAACGCATACAAGCGCCGAACCGCTACAGCTTCGACATGACCACCCTCCCGCAGGGCAGCACGCCGGCAGGACCCGCGCAGGGCCGGGCCGCCTCCTCCCGAGCGCCCCGTCCTCCGGGCGTCCCCCCCGCCACCGCCGGGGACCGGGGCTGCCCGCGGCCCCCCCCGCCCCGCCACCGCCGGGGACCGGTGCTACCCGCGGCCCCCCCCGGGGCCGCCCGGCGGGACTCCGCCGCGACGCCGCACGCCACCGCCTGGACGCGGCCGTTCAGTGCAGTCCACCCGCGCCCGGCCGAGGACCGGGCACCGACACCCACCCACCCCCACTCCACTCCACTCCCCCCCCGGGCCCCGAGGCGGCCCGCCGGCGCTCACCTGTGGTACTGTGCCTGGAGGAACTGGAACTCCTCCTTGATGCGGTCCAGCGACTCCGGGATGGTGAATTTGAAAGGCTGGCCCGCAGCCTGGTGCGGGGTCTGGCGCGGCGGCGGCCGGCGCGGGGGGAGAGAGGCACGGTCAGAGGCAGCGCGGCCGCCCCGCGGGGAGGGGGCCGGCTGCCCGCCGCGCCCGGGACGCCGACGGGACGGGGTGGGGGGATGGAGGGAGGCACGGAGAGACAGCCCGGCCCGGCCCGCCCGCCCCCGCTCCCCCGAGGCGCTGCGCACTTGTTACCCACCTTCCCGTCCCTCATCTGCCAGGGGGCAGGGGGGCGGGGGGTTGGGGGAAAGGAGGGGGGGCTGGGGAGCGAGGCTAACCGCGCTCCGGCAGCCGCTCCGGCCCCGACCCACCGGCTCCTGCCGCCGCCACGAAAGCGGGGCGTGCCGGCTCCTCCCCGCCGACCCCCGCCGCGGGGGCACAGCCGGCCCCGGCCCGGCCGCCGCGCTTGGCGGGGAGGGGGACGCTGCCCAGCCCGGCGGCGACTCCCCCCCTCCCCCTCGCCGTCATTCCCCAGGCAAGTAAGTTGCCCACGAAACAAAAGGGGTCGGGGCAGGGGGGCACATCCCCCTCCCCGGCGGCACCGGCAGGCAGGATGTGCCGGCTCCTCCCAAGAGGGGACAAACTTGTGAGGGCGCCCGGCCGCTCCCCCCCACCCCCTCCTCCTCAGCCGGGAGACGGGGGTGGGGGGGAGCCAGGGGTGCGCCCCGACGGGGCAGCACCGGCATCGGGGCGCCGCCCTGACCGCCCAGCCCCCGCCCCGCTCCCCGGTCAGCCCCGCGCCCCCACCCCCGCGGAGCGGAGCGGCGGCCCCGGCCCTACTTACGGGGTGCCGGCTCTGCGGGAACATGGCTCCGGCCGCGGCAGGGCTCCCTCGCAGCGCGGTTTGTCGCGGCGAGCCCCCCCGCCCCCCGCCCTGCCCCGGCTTCACGCCTGGGGCGCCGAGGGGCCAGGAGCGGCGGCACCGGCCGGCCGCCTTCCCTCCCTCCGCCGCCGCGGGCAGGAGCACAGCGAGGCGCCGCTCAGAGCCCCCGCCGCGGGGACATCCTGCGGCCGCGGCGTCCTTTGTTGCTGCTGCTCCGGGGGGGGCCGGGGGTGCCCGGGGGAGGCGGGCCGGCCGCGCTCGGGACGGTCACCGCCGCTCCGCGCTCCTCCGGCGGCGCTTCGGCCGGCGGGCGGCGCCCACGGCGCCCGGGCGCGGCGGGACGGGACCGGGCCCGACGGGGCGAGCGAGGGGACGGACGGGACGACGACGACGATAGCGGCCGCCCCGCCGCGGGGGCGAGTAATGCCCCCCTCCCGGGCTCGCAAGCTGCCGATGCAATTGTAAGGCCGGAAACCCCGGGCGGAGGCGACTCCTCTTCCCCACTTCTGCCTCTTGCCAAGAGGGGAAAATCCAGCCGGAGGAAGCGGGGCGCGGTGTCAGCGGCGGGACCGTCGCAAGCCGGGGAGGCGAGAGAAAGTCTCCACGGAGGCCCGCGCTGCTCCCGGGCGTCGGCGGAGGGGCCAGGTCATCGGCAAGACACGGAGCGATGAACAAGGGCGGCAGGCAGGAGGAGGAGGAAGGGGGCGGGGGGGGCTCTGCACAGCCGGCCCCGATCGGAGCAGCTCCAGTAGCACATGCACGGAACACAGGAGGGCAGAGGAGGGGGAGCCACACACGCAGCAGACTCTTCCGTTAGTTGCAGAGAGGTCCCCAGGACAAAAGGAAAACAAACCCCCTCAGAACGCCCGCTGGTCCGACCGGCCAAGCCGCCCGCCCCGTCGGGGAGGGGAAAAAAAAAAAAAAAAAAAAAAAAAAAAAAAAAAAAATAAAAGGTAAAAGCGTCCGTGTCGGGGCTAAATCAGACGGGAAGCTCCTTCGTGCAACGGCACCACTGCAGCCTCCTCCGGTCGGCCGCGCATCGGGGAGCTGCACGCCTCACCAGAGCCCCCCAAGCGCGGTACATCGCGGCGGCGGCGTCAGCATCCTCCTCTCCTCCTCCTGCGCCGCGCTGCCCCGCCGCTCCTCACCGACCCGGGGTAAAGTTCACCCCGTCTGAAAGCCGCGGAACCCAAGCGGGCGGAAACGCCGCCGGCCTCCTTTCGCCCTCCCGGCGGCGGCGGCGGCCCCGGGCGAGGGGGGAGCAGGAGCGGAGCGGGGCGGCCCGGCGCGCGGCGGGACGGGAGCGGGGACGCGCCGCGCTCGTCCGCGCCGCTTACATTAGCACGCGGTTTCACACTCCGCCAGCTAACCAGCAGCACGGCCACGCCCACGCCGCCGCGCGGGGGGGGATGTGGAGAGGAGGTGGGGGCCGGGGCCGGGGCCACCGCCGCCCAATCGCCGGCCCCGGAGCCAACGTGGGGCCGTGATGGTCCCCGGCCCCGCGAACCAATGGAGAGAGCCCGAGTCCCGCCGCCTCTCAGCCTTTCGCTGGAAACCGTTTGTGGCGGAGCGGCGGGGGCGCTCCGAGCTGGCCAATAGGCGGGCGCGGGGCGCGCACCGCCGCGGGGGAGGAGGGGAAGGTCGGTGGGAAGGAGAGTGGAGAAGCTGAGCTGTCGATCAAAGTAACGTGGGGCTCGCTGGGCAGGGGGGGCGGGGAAGGGCGGGGCGGGGGCCGCGCGCGCGCGGCGCCTGCGCCTTTCGCCTGGGCTGCCGGCTCCGCGGCGCGGGGCGGGGCGGCCGGTACCGCGCGGCGCGTTGGTGGGAGATCCCACACGGCCGGGCCGGGCCCGGCCCGGCCCTGCCTGCGCCCTCAGCCCGCCGGAGGTTGTTTAGGGTTTGGTGGGATTTTTTTTTTTTTTGTTGTTTTTTTTTTGTTGGGTTTTTTTTTTTTGGTTGTTTTGTTTTTGCTTTGCCTTGCGTTTTTGTCCAAGGGGCTCCGCGGCGAAGAGCGGCTTACCCTCCGGCTGGGGCTTCTCTGTACCTTGCGTGCCCACGCGGGCGGGTATTGGGCCTGCGCGGGTGTGCCCCCCCCTCGCCCGTAGCCGCGGGACGGAGCCGGCCCCGCACCCCGGGCGGCCCCCACGCGGGAGCGGGCCCCGAGCGCTCGGGGAGGAGGCCGAGCTTCCCTGTAAGGCGGGCGGGGGGCGTCTCTCCCACTCGTGCTGAACGTAAATGCCCCACGGCGCGTGGCTGCGGCACCTGCTGACGCTGCTCGCGGCCGTGCAGAAAGTGCCATAAAGAAGGATAAAACCTTGGCGGCGGTTGGCATCGCTCCGCCATACCAACTGGAATGTGGGTTGGAGTGACCCTCTGATCAGGCGGAAGTTGTGCTTAGGGGAAAATTGGCTTTTTTTTATAAGAGGGGTCTGCTAGAGGCAAGCTGTCAAGAAATTTGCTGTTGTAAATGGTTTATAGGCCCGCCTGAGGTAGATGAGGGTCAGACAAATTCCACAGGCTCTGTGTGTGACTACTGAGATGACAAACGGTGACACAGCTTGCGGTGGGAAGTAAACTTCAAAACACCCTCTATTAACAGCCACCTTATTCATAGTGGAATTACACGATGAAGTGTGACATACTGGTGTCTTTGGTCTTAATGCCTGTAGACATTGATGCTGTCATTATACCCGTATACGACCTAAAATGAGGCCTGAAGTTGTAGTATTGCGTCCTTTACGCGGATTAAGGGTAATCTTATAATTTTGCATTCTCTTACCATTCCACATTAATATTTGCTAGATATACTTAGAATTGCGTTATGCTTCATGTTGTATCCTAAAGAAAGAGCAGTCTATGTTTAAAATTAGGTATGAAATTTGATACGTGGCAATATCGGGATAGAGCTTTACTCATTCAGAGTGCTAATTTCCATACTGCATTATTCCTGGTTTTACGTAGAAGCGACCAAAGGAAAAGAAAATGAAACTCCTTCAGTCTTACGCAGTGAAGTCTGGACTTCATTCCAGGACTACAGGGCTTTGGCACTGAAAACAGATGCATGTACGTCTCTGTGCCTGTGTGCGTGTCTACGTATGTGTACACATAATGCTGTCTCTACCTATACACACCTATGTATGTGTGTGTTCATATTTATATCTGCATGCGTCTTTCTGAATACATAAATACATCTGAGGGCTTTTTTTTTTTTTTTAAATAGATGAGGCAAAACACCCTTGATAGTGACCTTTGGTAGACTGTGGTTCCCAGGACGGGAATGTAAACTTGTCTGGTGTTCCGCATGCATAAGTAAAGTTAAAAATCTTTAATAACGTTCCCAGCTCTTCCCTTGTATTCTTGGACAAGCCAACTCACTGCTCTGCTCATGGCATTGGAAAGCTTAATTAATTAATGCTTGTAAAGTACTTAGATCTTCAGATGAAAGATGCCATAAAAATGCAAGGTATTATTATATACTTTGTGTGTTTACCTAGTAGCTATGGAGTCTGTAATAACTTAACACTTACCTAACTTTGGTTGTACTTTGCTTAACCTGCTGGCACAAGTTGTTAATGAGATATTAACAGATACGGCATTAAAACAACACTGTGTTTTGGAACATAAACAAAAGCTATTTTTTTTTAATTGCTTGCCTACATGAAAGTTGAAATGTCTCGTAACCTTTATTTGTCGTCATTAAAAAGTCCAAGGCATGTTTTAACAGAAACAGAAAAGCTCTGTTTTCCTGATTTTTTTTTTTTTTAGCAAGTGCTTTTAACCTGCTTAGATTCTGGAATCAGACACTTAAGGGCATTTTGAATCATCTCCATTAGAATCAAGGTAAAATAGCTGTAAGAGCAGTAGTAGAATCAAATGTGATGATTTTTTTTTTTTTTCTAATGAGAGCCACTGACATTACATGGTCTGAACAATAACCAACATGATCTGATATTTAACTGATTTATAATGCATCATCATTGACTGATTAGAGCATTAAGATTTCCTGTTTGATAGATGGGTATAAATCTGGATTAATCGCAGAAAACTGAACATCCTCATTCCATGGCAATACTCGCTATTTACACCACTGAAAGATGGGCCAAAATATGGCTAAGCATGTTGTAAAGAGCTGTATTCAACTCAAGATATTATTTTATGCCAGGTCATTATGCCACAATACTGTACATACTCTACTCAATTTTCAAAATGGATTAAAAATATTTGTGTTTAAATCTCTCTCTCATGTTTTAAAAATACAATAAAAAGATTGCATTCAGTATTAACCCACGCCAAAACCATTCTGTTTAATCGTTCATTCGACTCTGCTGTTTGAAATTAGTTGTATTTCACTCTAAGCATTTTAATGTAGTCTTCCTACCTCATATTGCAAAGGGTCTAATCCTGCATTGACTATGTACTGAAAACTCACACTGGAAGCAGTTGGAGCTTTGAGTCAAAAAAGCAGTATTGGGTCCAAAATGTAGTTGGAATGTACTGAAAAGGTCTCAGATGTAGCATCTGTTCTTTAGGGAAATGACGTATTGTATGATGGTCTGTTTACCACACTTTATATTTTTTTTTCTTTACTCTTAACAGTAATATTTACAAACAATATTTTTTAACTTCCCGCAAACTGGCACACACAATAATGTTGATGATGTTAATCACTAGGAGTTTGATGCAAGTAGGTGGAAAACAATTTAGCAAATTTGTGATTTATTCCACAGTTCTTCTACCTATGTAGTGAGAGCAAATCACTGGAGGAAGCAATCATAGAATTCAATAGATGTTAGTGCTTTCAGAATTTTAGATTGAGAGATCGTTGGATTTTCAGCTGAAAAAGAAACAAAGAGTACGTATAAAAATTATGTATATGTACAGGGGGGAGGGGTTTGGGTGGTTTTTTTTTTAGTGGCATGGTGGCACAGGTGGAATAGATTAAAAAATGGTATTTGAGTCATACAGTGCATGTGGTATAGTAGTGACTACCTAAACAGCTGCAAGAATAATAATTATTTTGAGGGCATTCAAAACAATATCACTTTTAAAACATTTCTTTATTT